AAAAAAAAAATCCTGGGTTCAGGTGATCCTCCCACCTCAGCTCTGAGTAACTGGGACTACAAATATGTTACTGCACCCAGTTCGTTTTTGGGGTTGTTTGTCTTTTGTTTTGGTTTCTTGAGAGGGAGAACCCCAGAAAGAAACTCTATTCATTTATCTAGCAGTACTATGGATCAAAGCCAGGGCCTTGGGCATGCGAGGCTAGTGTTCTACCACCAATCCACACCCCCAGCCCCCAATCTCTCTTAGATTAGATTAGAAGGCTGGCTAACCTTATGAGGTTTGGATACAAAAAATATCTAATTTTTGCTTATGTTTTGAAAGCACATAGATCTGTCAGAGCTCTCTTTGCTGTTCTCTGCATTTGTAATGGCAAAACCTCCAATCTCGATCCTCTGGGAAGTTGGCGGTGGCCAGTTGGGGAAAAGACTGGTGCATGTTCACAGCTCCTCTGGTTTCTTCTGCAGCCTCCTGCCTTGACTTGGGAGAAGGCACCATGATTATCTCCCTGTGGCTCCCCTCCCACCGGCAGGGGGTGCAGATGGGGGGCAGCAGGTAGAGGAAAGAGGGGCCAGGCTGGGCTCAGGGCAAAGTGATTTCAAACACTGACTCCCCTAAAGTGAGAGGACAGTGTTCCTTTCTGCCTCTCTGCAAGCAGGTGGGCTTCTCTTATTTGGAGAGTCTCCTGGCTCATTCCTCCGTGTTCCATGTCGCAGGGATGCGGGGGTGAGGGAAACTGGTGGTGTTCCAGGAGCTGAGCCCCTGACATGTAGTGGGAGCCTCCACAGGGGTTCCATATACTTTGATTTACTTGATCCTGGCCTTAAGAAGTAGGAGTCATCATCACCTTGAGGTAGGTAAGGGAAAGAGGCTCGAGGAGCTTGCAAAGTTTAAATCACTCATCCAAGGTCAAGGAGCTGGTGAGTGTTGAGTTCCGAAGCACAGAATGGAAGCCGTGCTCCAGGCAGCCCAATCTGGGGCCTCCCAGAGGGGCTGCTTTCCACCCGAGGATGGGGCAGGAAGGAGGGGGCCGGGTGGTGTGTGCTCTGGCCGCAGCGCCTTGACCTGCAGGGAAGCTGCTCTGTTTGTACACCTGAGTCCACGCGGGCAGCTGCGCCCTTCCCAGCCTCCAGCCCTGCTCCCCCTGAGGTTCCGGAGACCTCCTCATTCCCATCCAAGACTTGTGACTGCTCGTGCCAACGTGTGGCCTTGGGGTGGGAGGACTGGAGACTTAACTAGAGGGATGTTGCAATTGCAGGTGGCGAGTGAGGTGGGAAGGGAAGAGGAGAGGTTGCTGGAGAAGCCCCTCCTGGGGGCCCGAACTGCTCCTGTGGGCAGCCCTCTGGAACGAGGGCAGAGGCGGTGGGCCAGACGGAGGACAGAGACCCTGGCCAGGGCTGAGGAGCTGGCTGACCCCAGGGACCTCTGCCTGCATTAGAGGCCTGGGAGAACGAGGAGGCTGTGTCTACTCCTTACCTGAGCCGGGCACTGCCAAACACTGGGTTTAAGTGGGGCCAAAGGCAGGGCTGGGACTAGAGTGGAGGAGGAGAGGCACCTAGGACACAGAATGCCATCGGGCCCTCGCTCCCAGGTACCTCTCGTGCCCCACCCTAGTCCCTGCCCTGCCCAGGAGCTTAGGGTCAGAGGGCAGCTAGGACTCTACCTCCTTGCAAACCAGACCTGTTCCAAGCACTGTGCATATGGTCATATGTAACATAGGTAGAGTTTGCTAATTCTATAATTCTGTTACTTCATTCAACACATACCTGTGTGTTAGGTTGACCCTCACAGTTCTTGAAATTATCCCCATGGACGGATAAGAAGACTGAGCCAGAACAGTTAGGTAACTTGTCCGCTAACAACTTGTGCACCTAAGTATTCAAAGTCCATTATTTTTCTTTCTCTATTTATTTATTTTTTCAGTACTGAGGATTGAATCAGGGCCTTGGACACTCCTGTACCACTGAACCACACCCAGAGTACACGCTTTTAAACATAATGCAACATCACATGTATGCATTCCCTCCCTCTCTCTCTCTCTCACACACACACAGACACACACACACACACACACACACACCCCAGATGCTGTCTAGCCACCTTATCAGGACCTCCCCACCCCCAGCAGATTGGCCACAGCTGTGCTTCTGCTCACGGCAGGCCCTGGGGCATGCAGAAGAAGGTGGGTCACATGTGGACAGGGCCCCTTTTAAGGCCCCACCACCCCAGCTAACTCGTCTTCTGCCACCTGACCTGCCGGCTGCTACCCACACCAACTGTACCACTCACCATGAAGGTTCTTGTCCTTCTGCTTGTCACCCTTGCCGTGGCCTATGCAGCTCCTGACCCCCGGGGAATCCTAATCAACCTGGTAAGGGGGTGTGTAGGGAAGGCACATCTGAGCCTCCAGGCGGGGATTTTGTGAGTTTGGATCTTGGCCTCTGATGTCCTCAGCTGGAGCTGCTCAGGGGCTCTTTTCCTTGATTGCTCAGCCCCCTCCTGCACCTCTTCCCAGGGTGCCCCCAAAAGATTCATTGATAGTTCAGACTCAGGCTGGGATATGCTCAGAGCAGGGTGGTGGCAGAGAAGTGGCCCTGGGCTGGGGTTGGGACCCATGGGGTCCAGACAGATGGAAAGTCTGGTGTGAGGAAGTAATGGCTTGAGCCAGATCCAACCCTATGGATTCTAGTACTGACTGTAGCCCACTCCCTGGCCCGGTGTTCCCATCTGTAATGTGCCCAGTTGGCCCCAAACAGGGACTCCCTGTTGCTCCAGCTCCCACACCCCGAGGTGCCTGTAAAAGCTGAGGCACATTACCCTGCAAGGCTCCCCTCCCCCCACAGGCTTTTGCATAGCATAATGGGCATCCAGGATCCTCCATGCCCATCCCGTCCAGAGGGAAGAAGTGTGGCACTGGGTGGCTGCTGTACCTGGCTGTGAGGAAGCATTCTATAAAATCAGAGCCTGGAACCCTGGCTCAGAGGGTCCCATGCTCTAGAAAGCTTGACCCATGCACGGCATGGTGGCACATGCCTGTAGTCCCAGTGGCACTAGAGGCTGAGGCAGGAAGATCACAAGTTCAAAGCCAGCCTCAGCAATCTAGGGAGGCTGTAAGCAACTTAGTGAGACCCTTTCTCTAAATAAAACATAAAAATGGTTGGGATGTGGCTCAGTGGTTAAGCACCCTAGGTTCAACTCCGGGTACCAAAAAGAAGAGAGAGAGAGAAAACAAGAGAGAGAGAGAGAGAGAGAGAAACAGAGAGGAAGCTTCACCCGCAATCCTGGCTTCTGACTTACAGTGGCTCACTCCTATGCGCCAAATACAGTTCTGAATGCCTCACAATAACACCAGGAGACTATTCTTATCCACCACCCTCACATGGAGAGAAGTTAAGCACCGGCCTGAGTCACACAGCTGGAAAGGGGTGGCATTGGAATTGGCGCTAGGGCGGGCGAGCCCCAGGTTGCCTCACCTCCACAGGTCACACAGGGCAAGTCCCGCATGGCAGCCACTCAGTGCCAAGGTTCTTTCGCTCCTGGCAGGGATAGGCTTGGAGGGTCCAGGATACCCCTGTGATGCTAGGCAAAAAACTGTGGGGGGAGGGGGAGTCTTAAGGGGTGATGGACTTCAATTTTCAGACTCCTCAAAGGAATGTGGGAGCTGGAGCCACTGGGAAACCCTGTCTTGGAGTCATCTGTGCAATCTCCAGAGGGGATCACTGAGGCCCAGGGAGTTGGTAGTTACAGCCAATACTAGAAGCCTTGGATTCCGACCCAGCCCAGGGCTGCCTCTCTGCCACCACACTGCCCACTCCTCACGTGGGTGGAGTGCAGAGAGGCCACCGGACCCAGGGCTGAACTCCTTCACACACACTCTTACTGAGGGAGGTAGTGTCAGGGGTGAGTGGGATGGGGCTGGTGGCGAAGGGCATGGGGAAGGGCGCTGGGCTCACTGTCTGTCACTGCAGGAAGATGGCGAGATCTGCATGAACAGTGCCCAGTGCAAGAGCAGCTGCTGCCAACACTTCAGCCCCCTGGGCGTGGCCCGCTGCACACACATGGCCAGCGAGAACAGCGAGTGCTCACCCAAGGTGGGGACTGGGGAGTTGGGAAGAGAGGACGGAGGATGGTCCTTGAGGCTTGGAATGGGGTCAAGGACCTTGAATACTGAGGGTGTGAGCAGAGAGAGGTCAACAGGTGTCAAAACACAGTCCCATCTGCCACATCTCAACCCTCCTAACTGGCCACGGAGATGGGTGGGGCAGGGAATCGTTATTCCCATTTCATGGGTGGGTAAATAAAGACTCCCCAGAGAAATCAAGTTAGTAAGAATGCCAGGTGTGGTGGCCCACGCCTGTAATCCCAGCGGTTTGGGAGGCTGAGACAGGAGGATATGAGTTCAAAGCCAGCCTCAGCAAAAGCAAGGTACTAAGCAACTCAGTGAGACCCTGTCTCTAAATAAAATACAAAATAGGGCTGGGGATGTGGCTCGGTGGTCAAGTGCCCCTGAGTTCAATCCCCAGAATCAAAAAAAAAAAAAAAAAAGTAAGAGTAAGTGAGTCACAGTGGAGACCAGACCTGAACCTCTCGGGCCCACAGCACTCCCTAGGGAAGCCATTGGGAGAAACACCCTCTGAAAAGGGAGGGGGCTGCTGGTTCTCCCTCCAGGCAGGGGGCAAATGATGCCCAAAGCAGCCCCCCACAGTCTGTGACTCCACTGGCTCTGGCTCTGCAGACAGTCTATGGGATTTACTACAAGTGTCCCTGCGAGCGGGGCCTGACCTGTGAGTCGGACAGGACCATTATTGGCGCCATCACCAACACCAACTATGGTATCTGCCTTGATGCTGGACGCTCCAAGGAGTAAGACCACCCCTGACTCCTGCACCTAGCCCGGCAGGCTGCGCAGGACCCTTCTCTTGTCTTCCATCTCTTATCTTTGGCTGGCCACCTCCTTGACCAGCACCTCTGTCACCTGATTGGGTTCTTGGCAATAAAACCTGCCTGCAAACCTTCCCTGCTCCTGTGTGTCCTTGCTGGGTCAGGGTCTCCCTTGATACTGCATCAAGCCTTTGCCCACCAGGGCAGGTGTCCAGCAGGCCAAAGATGGAGGAATGGGTCCAGGACCAGGAAGGATGTGCTTGAACAGATTGGGGACTAGAGACAAGGCCCCGGCGGGCCAGGAACTTATTCATTTCTGGGAGCAATTACTCCGCTCTGGGATGCACCTGGATGTCCCTGCAATTCCCAGAGAGATAGGCAGCAAGAACATGTGCGCACACACACCCCCTTGGGCGTGGAGTTCCCATGGCCCATATTTCCTCCCTACATCAGAACTCTCCAGTCCCTGTCCTGGTTCTCGCCTCCTACAGGCCCGGCTTTCCGATGTGACAGCTGACACAACCACGTATCAGACCTCCAGCACAGGGGTCAGATCCCAATTGCTCTGGGCTCACTCTCTGTCCTAGAAAGTCCTCACAATGATCCTGGGAGGGAGGTTTTACCATCTCTATTTCACAGATGAAGAGACTGAGTTTCAGAGAGGTTAAGGATATTGCCCAATATAACATAACTAGACAAAGGTGCACTCTACCCACCCAGCTCCACCCCGACCCTTTCTATGATTCCCTATTCTTTTTTAAAAAAAAAATATTTTGTTTTAGTTGTAGATGGACACAATAACCTTTATTTTATTTTTATGTGGTGCTGAAGATCGATCCCAGTGCCTCACACATGCTAGGCAAGCGCTCTACCACTGAGCCACAACCCCAGCCCTCCCCATTCTTTCTCAACACACAAAATGAGAAAAATGAACAGAAATTGTAGCAGATTTAATTTTTGGTCAATTCAAAAATAGTAGGGCTGGGGATGTGGCTCAGGGGTAGAGTCCTTGCCTAACAGGCACAAGGCCCTGGGTTCAATCACCAGCACCACACACACACACACACACACACACCACAAATTGTAGCCCCCCCAGAGCCATCAAAAATGAGTTGCCATCACCACAGTGTGCAAGCAGAAGTTCAAGGATCGGCGGGTGGTGGGGACACTGGAGAGGAGATTCACACAACGAATAGTGGATAAGGGACAAAATAAAGTTTAGATGCCCCCACAGTCCCAGGATTCTGTAGTTCTGTGATCAGTGAATCTCCTAGTAACTGAAAGCAAATGAAAAGGAATACAGAAAGAAAAAGAAATGGAGACAGACTTCAACGGATCAGCGATGCCTTATTAAAAGCAGCAGAGGGACACATTTTCAAGAGGGAAAATGGTGACAGGCAATAATAAGGGTCTGAGTTTCACAGGGTTTAGAGGGGCTGAGTCCTGGCAGGAAGTGTGTTGGTTACAGCTGGAGGGAGACCTTGGGCAGGCAGGAGGACGGCTGTAGATAGGGAAAGTCAACAAGTTCAGAGCCCAATATTCTCCCTCTCTCCTTGGGGGTTGTTATTTTCCTTCATTAACCGTGAATTTATGAGGTAGGGCTGTATTAAGCTGTAAGTAGTAAAAAACCCAAGTAATTATAACTTAAATAGACAAGGACATATATCTCACGAACCAAGAAGTCTAGTGACAATGTGGGTGTGTGTTTGGTGGCTGGCAGGTCTTGACCCTCCCTTTACAGTTGCCAACTACTTGGTGGCAGTGCGCCTTCACCATAGCCAAAGGCAGGAAGCGTGCAGCAGAGGGAGGGTGCGGTGGGGGCTGAGGAGTGGGATGTTTCTCAGGGTGTCCCTTCTTCTTGTCTTTCCCCAAAGCCTCAGGCAGACTTTCCTCCATGGGGCAAAGGTTAGAACTGGGGCACCTGACCGCCTCTAGGTGCCCCAAAGGCTGAGAAGTGAATAGGGCTTCCACCATCTTACTCCACGGGTCGTCTCAGGCCTAGAAGGAGGGGAAGGTCAGGTCACACTCCTTGGTGCGCAGACTCAGCTCTGGGAGAGAACCACAGTCATGTCTTCTTCCTAGATCTACAGAGTGACCACTGGGCCCAGCAGTGAATTAGACTATAGAGGACATGAGAAAAATGTCCCTGATTTCCAGGAGTCACTAGAGAATTGGGCTCTGCAGAAGCAAGTGGCCAAGCTGCCCCACCCCCACCCGCCACCCTGCCCCCAGTTTCCCTCTGTTAAATCCCTTCTACTTGAAATACCTGGAGTGGTTCTTATTTAACTGCCCTGAAGCAGACATTTGTGGGGGAAGCTCTCTGAGCCGTGGCTGTGCCTGGCAGAGAGGGAGAATTTTGTCATGGTGGCTGACACCTGACCACACTTGCCTCTCACCAAGCCTGGAGCCCAGAGGTGCCACCTTTTCTAATTCACATGAAGATGTCACACAGGCTACAGCCTTTCACTGACACTTTCCATCTACCTATCCTAACCCCAGGAACTCCTCATCTTGTGGTTACCTTTTTTCTAGATCTATGAGATATTCACTATGGAAGCAGGGATGTGTGTAGCCTTGAGCTCATAAAAAAAGAAAAGAAAAGAAAATCCCTGATCCTGTGGTCCCACACTGGGCCAGCCACATGTGGCTGTTGAGCACTTGAGATGTGGCTCATCTGAATGGAGATAAGTATAAGATACAAACTTGATGAGGAGGACTTATTACAAAAAAAAAAAAAGAAGAATGTAAAACATCTCAAATCATGTTGAAATTATGACATTTTATATTAGCTTAGAAACAAAAATAGAGTATCAAAATTGATTCCACTTGCTTTTTTTAATACTAAATCTTTTTTTAATATTTATTTTTTAGTTTTAGGTGGATATAATACCTCTATTTTATTTTTATGTGGTGCGGAGGATCGAACCCAGTGCCTCACACATGCTAGGCGAGCATGCTACCAGATGAGCCACACCCAAGCCCTCTCTTGCTTCTTTTTATTTTTTGAATGTAGCTATTAGAAAATTTAAATTATAGCCTGCTTTTTATTCCACTGGGCAATGCTGCAGAGAGTCCCAGAGCTGCGGCTTCTCAGCCCAGGAGAGGCACAGCCGCGGCTCAGAGAGCTCCCCCCACAACTTTCCCTGGACTTCGGCCTCTCCCAGGGACCACTCTTCCCACGGGGGCAGCAGAATCTCCACGGTTCGTGAAGGGGTCCCAAATTCACCACAGTGGCATGAATATTTTGAGCTCAAGGCTTTTGGCAGTAGGCTCTTTTCTGAACTTCCTCATTGACTTAAAGCAGAGCCTCCCGAAGAAATGGATGCTCATCAATCCCACCCCAGGTCCTCCTGGAAACCAGGGCAGGTTTTCTTCTCACCACAGAGAAGTGGGCATCACCGAGTAGATGTCTATAAGCCAAATCCCACCCGCCTCCTAAAGCCACGTTTTTCTATGAACATTCTGAATAAAAACCTGCCGTATCTCTTGCAAGTGTATCTTCTGTTTTTTTAATTGTCAAGGCCCCATTCTCTGAAGCTGAGAGTAGTTTTTTCTTAGCGACACATGGAAATGGGTTCATTGTGTCAGAAACATGCCTTTCCCTTTTTCCCTATTTAAAAAATGTCATCTGAAGTTAACAACGTTTTTTAAAGAACATGTACGACTTGAGGGTTTTTAAAAGGCATATTATGTCCCTGGATGAAAATATTCAATATTGCAAAAATCTAAAATTTCCCCAAATTGATTTTTTGGGGGAGCAGGTTTATTGAGGATTAAACCCAGTGTAACCATTGAGCTACATGTGTAGTCCTTTTTATATGTATTTATTTATTTTGGTATGCAGGATCAAACCCAGGGGCACTTAAACCTGAGCCACATCCCCAGTCCTTTTAAAATACATTTTATTTGGAGACAGGGTCTCCTTGAGTTGCTTAGGGCCTCCCTAAATTGCTGAGGCTGGCCTTGAACTTGTGATCCTCCTGCCTCAGCCTCCCAAGTTACTGAGATTATAGGTGTGCACTGCTGCACCAGGGCAAGTTAATTTTTTTAAAAAGCTGTATATACTTAAGATGTACCACATGTTGATTGGATATACTTATCCTGCTATACACAAACTCGGATGTGATTACTACTGCCAAACAAATTAACATACCCAGCCATCATCCTAAATAGTTTCCTCCCTACCTACTTTTCTTTCTTTCTTCCTTTCTTTTTTATTTTACAGTAAGAGTACCTAAAACCTGCTTTCTTAGCAAATTACCCATATATAGTACAATATCATTAACTGCAGTCCTCATGTTGTACCCGAGTACTCCTGGATTTATTCACTCTGTGTAGCTGCAACTTTGTACACTCTGGCCTCCATCTTCCCATTTCCCCTCACACACCACCACTCTCCTTATAATCATAAACATAATATCCTCCAGTTTCATCCATACTGTTGCAAATGGTAGGGCTGAATAATATTTTTTGTAGGGCTGAATAATATTCCATTGTATATGTATACCATGGTTTCTTTATCCATTGTCCATCAGTTGTTTCTATAGCTTGGCTATTGTGAGAAGTACTGCAATGAACCTTGGGAATATGACTACCCATAGAAGTAATGGCTTTTCCTTTGGGTGTATACCCAGAAGTGGAATTGCTGGATCACATGGTAGTTTCATTTTTAATTTCTTTAGGGACCTCCTTACTGTTTTCCATAGTGGCTACACCAATTTACATGCCACCAACTGTTTCCAAATATTCCCTTTTCTCTTCACCCTCTCAAATCCTGTTATTCTGATAAAAGCCATTCTTACTAAAGTGAGGTGATATCTCTATAGCTTTTTAAAATATTTTTTAAATTGCAGATGGACACAATACTTTTACTTTATTTATTTATTCTTATGTGGTGCTAAGGATGGGCCTCACACATTCTAGGAGTGCTCTATTGCTAAGCCACAGCCCTAGTCTTCAATATAGTTTGAATTTGCCTTTCACAGA